AATAATAATAATAATAAGGGGGGGAAAATCTCATATAAATATGAAGAGGAAACGAAAGCCAACATGTTCAAAACCTGTAATTCACTCCTCGGAAGGTGCTTCCAGACAGGAATTTCCTGAAAATGAGGGTAATAGTTTTAATTATGGCTCCTAGACATTTTAAAGTAAGGCCCTCAAAGCAAATCAAGGTTAGATTTGCAAGCTGCAATCTCGGAACATCAAACCAAAACATCTCCATGCCGAGGGAGAACGAAATAATGGTAATGGCAACTCGTATATTAGTTTTATTTGCTTCCTGAAGTATTCCAGCGATATGAAGGCAGTTCAGCCCTCTCCCTGGCTTTGTTTTTGCTTTAAGTGCAATTAAGCCGGGGCTTTTAGGCGCAGCCGCTCTTTGCTCCGCCGAGCTTCATGGCGGGATCTCTGCTTGGGTCACTCGCCGTTTAATTGCCAAGGCACAAGCGACTTTTTCTGCAGCTGTGGGGCTACCCGCGAAGTTTCCCCGGCACCCGCGGAAAGGCCGCGCGTGGGAAGCCGGGGAGGGGATGGGGAAAAGCAGGGCCCGGAGGGGAGAATTCTCAGCCTTCATTCAGCCCCAGCGGTTGTGATCCGGTCGCGCTGCGGAGATAGCGCGCGCAAATCTCCCTCTGCAAACAACCGTCGCGCCTGTATCTGTATATACACACACACATACATAAATACATATACTCCGAAGTGGCCTCGACATGGCCAGACTAGATACCTTCTCTCCCAACTCTGAGCCCACCGCGTTTATTGACTTTGCGCCTTGTCCTTCGGTCTGTTCTGGGGGTGTCCGGCCACGGGGTGCGCAGGATGCGCGGGGTCTGCGCGGCCGGCCTTGCAGACGGGGACGCGCAATGACCGCGGGAGCGCTGAGCTGCAGTGCAGCCGCGACCATCAGCGCGAGAAGCAGCAGTTTAATACAAATGTAATTCCTATTACTATAGCAATGTTATAGTTTTGCAAATAAAATAAAACTCCGAGCGTCGCGGCGCTGCTCGCAGCCCACCGCCGGCTCCCAAGAGGGGCGATTCCCGCTTCCAAACGCCGATCCCCGCCAGACACGGCGGGGCCGCGGAGCAGCAGCCCCGCGCCCCTCTTACCCGGACTCTGGGCTCCGTGAGGTTGGTCCATACGGCGATCTCCTCCCGCATGCTCATGTCCGGGTAGCGGTTCCGCTGGAAAGTGGCCTCCAGCTCCTGCAGCTGCTGGCTCGGGAAGGGGGGCCGTTGCCCCCGCCGCTTCTTCTT